CACTCAGCAATCGCTGCGATACCAAGCAGCATGCTCCGCAGGCTCTTCCTGCCGATCCCGTGCAGTCAACACGTGAACAGTTTTGTAACCGCTGATGTTGATTTCATCTGCGGGCATTGTCCAAGTCTCTCCGAGGAGTATGACGTCGCTTGTTGTGTAGAGGACGTCATTCTCTATCTGGCCGCGGTGCTTTGCAAAGATCTGTATATTGTGAAACACAAACTGGAAAGCGGAATGTTCTGTAATTTGAAATGGGGCTGAAGTAACCAGTGCTCCTGTCGCCTCAGTTCAACTCACAATGGATCATTTGGATGCGGATGACGAGGCGTGGTGAATTGCCAGTTATGTACAGCCCGGAAATTGACGTAACTCTGGGCAGCGCTACGTGCAGCAAAGCCCGAGTTCTTAGCTTAGATTAATTTATAAAAAAGATCAACTGCGCGTAAGAAGTTTATGAGCTTAATGCATACACGCAGTTGTATGTGCGATAAATTCTCGGCATTCAAAATGCCGGGGAATATCCTGACTTACTTCTCATATGATGATGCATGCATGGCGGCGTACTGTAGAACAGTGCTCGGTCGATCACTACGTCCCCTTCACGTGATCACATTTACGTATTGCTGTGCACGTTTGTGCGGCTGTATTCGTTTGTTCGGCTTGAGCAGGGTCTTCGTCGTGAAAAGTGCTGCTGGACGAGGTGCGGTAAAGCGTGGTGTAAGTCGCAAGAGAGGAGACGAGGGGAAAGGGAGGAGAGGGGGGGGGAGGATTTTAGTTTTTCTTCCAGTTCTGGTGCTAACGACTATTATGTGCATCTGGCACAGCAGAAACAGCCTGCGATATGTTACTGTTGTATTTCTAGATACACTATGGTTTGACCTCTTCCGGCATGCTGGAGAAAGGACGGTTGGGATGAAGGTATTGCATTATAGGGCCGCATGGACCACGAGGTACATGATTACCTGTATTTTGTATGAAGCTCAGTCGTTTTTTCGGCAAATACTAGCTTTTTGAAAAGTTTAAAATGCAAATTTTATAAAAAAGTGCAAATTCCAAGTTCACTAAAAAGTCGAGGTATTGCTCGAGCGGTCGTTTATCAAAAATCCATGTTCATTTACATACATGATTGCGGTTCAAGTCCGAGTTGCGAACGATTTTTTTGAAAAAATGCAAATTTCCAGTTCACTAAAAGTGGAAGTATTGCTGGAGCGGTCGTTTGTGAAATAATCCAAGTACGCAAATGAACTAATGAACCTCGCTACAAAATCTTTGAAGTGCTCTAAGTCGTAGGCAAGTGCAGTTCGGTGCTCATTTTAGGTATACTATTTCCTCTATGAGAGGCAAACATCCTGAAAAAATTTCAGTTGCTTTTTTCCGGCAAGTTTTCGAATTAGCACAGTACTAAATCGTAAAATTTGACGGGGTTGTACGCGTTGCACACGCGCGTGACAGCTGAGTTTAAAATTTTCAGCTCGCACGTGCATTAGAGAATATCCTTGCAAAGTTTCAACTTTGTATCTTGCCTGGTTCGCGAATCGATCCCGAAATTGTATCCCACCAACGAAATTTGCATGTTTTTTGAGAGGGCCCGTACGCGGGTTCTAGGCGCGTGTGGGGGAAGTTCTCGAAACGGGAGGATGACACATGGGGTAGGAACATATATCCAAAGTTCAGCCTCCCAGTTTTCCTGGTTGCTGAAATGAAAGTGGGTGACAAAATGCACCCGCTTCCGAACACACACACAGCCTCTCGACAATATGCATTTTTGCTGATTGTAGCAGCGCTATAACGCTGCACAGCAAAAACGCATAAAAACGCAGATGATAATTTATGTAAAAAGTGGGAATTTCTAAATTCCTATTTTTTTTAGCAGATCTTTGACTGTCAGTCAAAGATCTGCTAAAAAAATAGGAATTTAGAAATTTATAGACTTTAGATTTAGAGTTTTGTAAAACCTTCAGCGTGAAAGTTTTATGTGGATTTGAAGTCGCACACATAGACGCACATACACATAGACAACCCCTCGACAATATGCATTATTGCATTACATAGATGAAAAAAAAAAAAAAAAAATAAATGGCCAACGCACGGGCTGCCCGTGCGAAGATGCGTTTTTTGC